AGTAGACTGTTTTAAATGGAGGGAAACGTTAATAGAATAGAAGGTAACTTCAAAGAAAATTAATACTTCACAACACACCAAGAAAATTAAAATCCAAGAAGAACATGGAAACATTAAAACTATGAAGAAACTGACAAGAAAAAAGATGAACAGAATACACAGAGTCACTATAACAAAAATAAATGATCAATGTTCAACCATTTCAGGAGGTAGCATCTGATCAGGAATCAATAATACTGAAGGAAGAAGTCAAAGCTACACTGAAGGTGCTGGTTAAAAACAAAGCTCCAGGAATTATCAGAATATTAATTGAAACCTTTCAACAAACTGATGCAGTACTGGAAGTACTCACTCATCTCTGCCAAATGATTGGAAGAAATTCCATATTTGTGCCTGTACCAAAGAAGGGGATGCAACAGAATGTGGAGCTCATTGAGCAATATCATTAATATCACATGCAAGTAAAATCTTGCTGAAGATAATTCAAAAACAGTTGCAACAGTACTTCAACAGGGACCTGCCAGAAATTCAAGCTGGATTCAAAAGACGACGTGGAACCAGGAGTATCACTGATGACATCAGATGAATCTTGGCTAAAAGTCAAGAATACCAGTAAAATGCTTACCTGTGCCTTATTGACTATGCAAAGGCTTTCAACTGTAGGAATCATGACAACATTGATTTGGAAGAATGTGTATTTAGAACACTTAATTCTGCTCATGAGGAACAGACACAGACTAAAAGGGAGTTGTTTGAACAGAACAAGGACATACTGAATGGTTAAAAATCAGGGAAGCTGTGTGACAGTTGTATTTTTCACCACAATTATTCAATCTGTATGCTGAGCAAACAATCCGAAAATCTGGATTATATGAAGAAGCATGTTAGAAAAACTCATTAACAACCTGACTTTTCTGCCTTGAATTTAACTGGCCCAGAAGATCCCCTCAAAAGTCACTGTTCTGATTAGATCTTTTTAAAAGATATCTGGTGTGGCACTGCAGAATCAGCACTGGAATACAAATCAAAAAATCAGCAGTTCAAACCTACCAAAGCTACTCCTTGGAAATCCTATACAGGATTGCTATGACTTGGAACAAACTCAGTGGCACTTAACAACAACAAACACGACTAAGGCGGATCACTGAAAGAACTTGTCTGCAGCCATCCACTGATGGCAGAGACAAACACATTTTACTTGGAGTTAACCCATGTACGTATGAACTGGATCCTTAGTAGCAATACATTTTTACTTACCCTGGTATACAAAATGATGGAATCACAGTATGGAAGCTACACAAGTGAACAGCAATATATAGACCCCATTTGCTGGTGAGAAGCAAAATGCCGGAGTGTGGATAGTGTGGCACTATAGGATAAGCACTCGACCACAAGGTCAGTGCTTCAAATTCACCAGCCACTCCTTGGAAACCCTACACAGGATCGCTATTAGTCGGAACCAACTCAATGGCACTTAACAGCAACAATATAAACTGCGAGCAGCCTTCCAGTTAAATGTTATGTAACAATGCAATGCTATCCAAGTGACTAAGATCCGTATGTTAAGTCCTAAACCTTCTTCATAATGTGTTGTTATTAAGGGCCATTGAGTCAGTTCTGACTCATAGCAATTCATGTATATGGTTATCAAGGAGTGGCTGGTAGGCTAGAACAGCTAACCTCCTGTTCAGCAGTCTGGTGCTTATCCTACAGTACCACACCAGGACTTCGTGAACAGCTGTTCAGACCACTACCCCTTGACTTGAGCCATTCACTGGTCATCTGTAAGTTGGACTATAACGTATAACTGAAACTTTATATACAGTTCAGATTTTATCTTTTTTTCTTTCCTAATTGAGATATTTTATACATATACTTAGATGCTTCTGGCATTGACCAGAATAATTGCCTCTGAGGTAATTACCACTCCAGTGCATTTGGGAGACAAGTTAGTGTTAAATATTGTAAGCCCTATCTGGAAAATCACATCAACCTAATGCATCATATTGGGCGACATAAAATATGCATGGGTGTTATAAAAGAATAAAACCAAACATAAAACTGTGAAGCTGAATTGCCAACCATGAAAAGAATGCCACAGAGGATAAGTCAGGCACCAACTGGCATTTTAATGAGGAGTGAAATGGCTTTATTGGGGGATTTTCAATTCGTCCAAAATGGCAAGCAGTTAATGTGCAGATTATATGGGCAGAATTTATTTTTCTTATTTCCACTAGAAATTCTTAAGACTTATATTAAAATAAGTTTAATATTTTAGCCTGTATCAAAGACGACTCTGTATTGACTTTGTTGCTATTGTCAAGTCGGCTCTAACTCATAGGGAGCCTGTATAGGATTTCCAAGGAGCAGTTGGTGAGTTTGAACCTCTGACCTTGTGGTTCAAACCAACCTTACATTCCAGTAGTTATCCTATAGCACCACACTAGGCCTCCTCCTCAAGAAGAGATGGTGTTGTTGTTATTGAGTGCCGTCAAGTCGGGTCCGACTCATAGCGGCCCTGTATAGGGTTTCTGAGGAGCAGCGGATGGGTTTGCAGTCCAGTGATGATCCTACAGCACCACACCAAGAGTCTCTATATACACTTGAGTGACACAATTATATTACATATTTGGATGAGTGGAATACTATTTCATGTAATAAAGAGAAAGTACTGTATTAACCATTGTGAATCATTTTTAGACTTAGATTAATTCAGAAATACAAGTATTAAGTCAAAAATGGAAAAATTTGTATTTTCATAACAGAAATTTTTTTTAAAAAAAAAGCTTCCAATAATAATGACAAATTGTTACTTAAGTCTCACCACAATTTTTACAAAAGGTAAAGGCAACAAACAGGTTTAACAACAACACTGAAGAAAATAAATTCGCAGAGAAAGAAATCAAGTTTATTAAGGACTCCATTTGGGAATAAAAACAGAGCAAACATGAAGAAACAATTGCTCAGTCCCACGACATACGGCAACATTTAAGCCTGGCCAGGAGGAGCCAATCAGGGAGGCTCCCGAGACTGTGTGATGATGTCATCTCCCTGCTTCCACTTCCGGGAAGTAGCTGCTATAGCAACAGCCACAGCATCTGAAGAGAACGTGCATGAGCAGGGACCAGAAACTCAAGCTGCACATTTTTCCTCCTCTGCCAGGGCTGTGCGGGTCTGTTTACACCCTTACCAAATGCCCCCTTGACATTGACTTTGCAAATGAGAAGAAAGTGAGGCCAAGAGGGGCACCCCTGAATAGAGCCCTAACCTGGGGCGCCTACTCTCTGTGTGGTCAGGTAACTAATGTGTAAGTGTCAAACACGTTGCCTGTTTTCTAGAGTTTTCATTTTCTCCTAATGTTTTAGGTTTGAAATATCATAGTCCCAGTTAATAGTAAAGTGCTCAACCTTTGGCACCCGAAAGAATCCTAAATAAACTGCCAAATTCATCTAAATTACCAAAAATAGAAACACATTTTTCTCAGTGATGCTAAAAATGTGGTTTTCTGAAACATATTTACAAAATAGAAATTCAAAGAGAAGGCAGAACTGAATAGTATACCTTTGAAAATAGTTCAAATGACTAATTTTATGTTATTCATATTTTACCACCTTTTTAAAGGTAGCAATAGGAATAAAAATTGATAATAAAATCTTGATCCTGAAAAAAGGTATCATTTAAAAAGTGCTGAAATCAGTACTGGTCAAACATTAAAAACTGTCACTGGATGTACTCGAATTAAACATTTAAAACAGGTAAGATTCTTGGAAGACTTCAGGTTTGTATGTGGTGCAAATAGTTAACCCATTTGGCTGCTAATTGGCAGGTTGGAGATTCTAGTCCACCCAGAGCACCTGAGGAGAAAGGACAGGTGATTTGCTTCTGAAAAAATCGGCATTCAAAACTCTATGGAGCATTGTTCTATTCTGACTCACATAGGTAGCTATAAGTCAAATCAATTCAACAGCAATTGATTGTGTTTATTGCTTTGTAAAAAAAAAAAAAAAAAAAAAAATCACGTATGTTAAACTTGTAAGTTTCAGTCACTTTGAGACTTCAATTCTAGATTATAGAGATATTTTTTTTCCCTTTCCTTTATGAAGGAGTATCCATCAGATTCTCAGAAATTCAGGGGACACCCAAGACTGTGGAGCAGTAAAGAAAGCATGACCTTTGACATAAAGCAGACGTGTTGTGTATCTATCTGGTTCTCATAAACCAGCTGCAACCTAGGATAGGTAACACCCTCTCTGAGCCCCATAAATTAACCCATTGCCATTGAGTTGATTCGAACTGATAGTGACTCTGAAAAACTGAAGAGGATTGCTCCGTAGGGTTCCCGAGACCAGACATCTTTACAGCCTCATCGTTCTTCCTCAGAGTGGCTGGTGGGTTTGAACTACCAAAGTTTCAGTTAGCCACCTAACACTTATCCTACTGCACCACCAGAGCTCCATGGTGGTGAGAGCTCCATGGTGACGGAGGTGGTTATGTGCTGTCGAGTCAGTTCCAACTAAGAGTGACCCTATGTAGAGTCTCCAAGGGTGCAATTCTCCTGAGGAGTGGTTGGTGGAGTTGAACTGCTGACCTTGTAGCTAGCAGTCCAACATATAACATACTACATTACCAGGACTCCATAGAGGTTGTGCAACAAAAAAAACACTAAAGCTTCTCCACGTAGTTGTCATGGGAACACACTTGAGTAGTAAAGTCCCAACAATGTCAAATTCCCAATTGAAATATTGTGGAATTCTCTAGAATAATTCAGTGGAATTCTTCTGGGTCCCAATTTACTAGCAAATGAAATGAGGTGTTTTCAGTGCTGAGCATCTGTATTGCAGCCAGACCTTTGGGTTTTTTTGGGGGGTTTGGCCAATAAGGAATTCTCACTGTATCATGAAACTATACAATGTTCACACACTGCTCAAAATTCAAAGGCCTGAGGAATTTGTGAATTGTGTCCCATCTCGTAGTTCCATTTCCTTCGGCCACTGTGGCATTCAATGAAGAGGCTTTAAGTGGTCTGGTGGGTGCCTGTCTCTCCCGGTGATCACATCTTTGAAGCAAGCACAGGTGACAAAATGGTGCTGATGTGAGTGGATGAGTCTTTCAAGACACTTGATGATTTCATACTCAGGAAGGGCGAGACTGGTCACCGTTAAGCCCAGCATCTGGGAAACTACGTCCCTGAAGTCCAACAGCTGCAAAACCAAACAGAAATATGACCTGGAAGAATGAGCTGTTATCAGCTACTGCTAGCCAAATGCAAGAAGGACACCAACCACCCCCACAAAACAAAACAAATGATGGAAAGCACAGGTTTGCAAAAGGTAGGCAAATTAACCAAGGAGCTCTGGTAGCGTAGTGGTTACGAATCGGGCTGCGAACCTTAAGGTCAGCGGTTCGAAACTACCAGCCGCTCCGCGGGAGAAAGATGAGGCTTTCTACTCCCGTAAAGATTTACACCCTTGGAAACCCTGTACAGGGTCGCTATGGGTCGGAACCGACTCGACGGCACTTAACAACAACAACAACAACAAGGCAAATTAACCAATCAGTTGCCATAGAGTCAGTTTGACTCAGGGTGAGCTTATGTATGTGAGAGAAGACTTGTGCTCCATTTTCAACAGCAGTGATCTTTCAGAAGTAGATGCCAGGCCTGTCTTCTAAGATTCAAGCTACCAATTTTGTGGTTAGTAGCCACCCAGGGACTCAAGTCGGCAAATCACCTAACTTGTTGAGCATGAGTTCCCTCATTTCTGTGCTACTAAATTATCTCAGAGTCCTGGTGTGATGCTGTAGGTTAATGTGCTGAATTGCAAGGTGAGTTTGAACCATAAGGTCAGCGGTTCAACCTCACCAGTGGCACCTCAAAAATTCTATACAGGGTTGCTGTGGGTCAGAACCGACTCAATGGCACTTAGCAACAACAAATTATCTCTTGAGTCTTGGTATGGCACTGTAGGATCAGCATTGGACATGGTTGGCAGTTCAAACGCACCAGAATACTCCATGAAAACCCTATACACAGTTGCTGTGAGTCAGAACTGACCATGGCACTTAACACCAACAACAAATTATCTCTGAAGTCTATCAGGTTTCAATCTTCAGTGAATTCATAACCACATTTTTTATTCTTTAGCCTATGTGGTATGGCTACCAAGTCAAGAATCACAGTTAAGCAACTGTGAATCAGACTGTGACCTCACAAAGACGCCATCTGCTTATTCCAGATAGGACTAGCCATGTCCCCCCGCCCCCCACAGGGCTGTAGGATTCTGATCAGATGATATGAGGACTGCATGTGTGCTCTGCACAAGAGGACATGCCACACAAATGGTGGTAGTGCCAGTGGTTGATACGCCTCATGTGCTGGAATTCTGACTCCACAACGAACCACTTCAACTAAAGGAAAAACAAGCAGCAAGAATGTATAAGCTCATGAACAAGGGTATGGCCATGGAGGGTTAGAGCTAAGAGTGAAGCATCCAGCTTATATGCAGTGAAGGGAGATGCACAAGAATGGCCAAACTTGCAGATAGTACCCATTTGACCTAGCTTCAATGGCTGATATTCAAGATGCAACTAAAGGAAGATAAAAAAAAAAAAAAATTTTTTTTTGATAAAGAAAATGAATATAAATTGCTGCAATCTGATGAACTTGACCTACACTTATGGATGTAGTAACTGAAAATACCAACTGAGAGGGAAGGAGTCTTCACATCAGGTATCAACCCAATCCCCTTTGTATACAGGGTAGACAGAGACGGGCAACTTAGACACTGCCTACCTAAAATGAAAGGGCGATAAAGGCACAAAGTGACTGGCTTACAAATTTTCAAGAAGGAGTTTAGTTTAAGAGTATGCGGGGAAATGTAGAGTCCTTTCCCCTGAATAGTTTTCCACTGAATAGTTTTCATCTTGTCTAGATGGGTCTGATGAGGAGATGGGGATAAGATTCTTATGATTCAATAGTGAGTAATTGTTATCATGACTAATTGCGAGTGTCACAATTGTAAAGGTAGAAGTTTTGTAACAAAAAGAGGAGAGTAGTTAATCTTACGGAGTCCTGGTGTGGCACTGTGGGCTAATGCATCAAACTGCAACATCATTTGAACAGCAAGGTCAGTGGTTCAAGCTCACCAACTTTGTATTGCTCCTGGGAAAGCCAATACAGGGTTGCTATGGGTCAGAATCGATTCAACAGCACTGAACAACAACAACAACAAGTTAATCTTACAGTCCAGGAAGAGAAGACCCTAGGACCATCAAGAACCAGAATATGGAACCCTATCCAGAGAAGCAGCGACACCAGAGATGGAGGCAGAGATGAGGATATGGAGAGAGTGAGCAGCTGAGGACTCTAGACTCATGGAACCAGAAAGACTGAATGTGGTGGCTAGGAGGCAGGCTTACAGAATGTGCCCTTTGGTTGTTTAAATGATTACATATTCCTGAGTGTTTCTGTGTACATCCTCCCGCTCAAAAAATAAAAACAACAGGGAATGGAAGCAAATACTGTTGAATGAAAATACACAGAGGAGAGTGTAATCATTGCAATGAAACGATGAATGTAAAACCAATGTTCTCCCATGTAAACTATCACTCAATTCACAATAAAAACTTGAAAGAAAAAAAATACATGAGCTGGTGAAAAGAGGAGGACGTCTAAATCCTCACCTTGCCTCCATCACAGACGGCCATCGCACAACCTATACGATGGGATTACTCTGAAACTGGAGGTTTGGCCACTACTATAGTGCTCCTTGGAGACCAGGAGGGCTAAGCTTTGTCTCTCGTATTTTGAACATATTGTCAGGAGGGAACAGTCGCTGGAGAAGGATGACATGCTGGGTAAGATGGAGGGTCAGAGAAAAAGAGGAGACCCCCAATGAGATGGATCAGCCAGGTGGCATCATTGATGGCGTCAAGTGTGGCAGCAGTAGTGAGGTTGGCCCAGGATCGGAAATTGTTTCATTCAGCTGTGCATGGGGTCACTATGAGTAGGTTCCGACTCGATGGCACTTGACAACAACAACATAGTGCTAAAGAGGAGTCCTGGTGTGGTGCTGTGAGTTAATGCGCCACACTGCAAAGCCGTTTGAACTGCAAGGTTGGTGGTTCAAGCTCACCAGCTGCTCCTCGGAAACCCTATACAGTGTCACTATGGGTCGGACCCGACTCGACGGCACATAACAACAACAACAACATAGTGCTAAAGAAGGAGCTCTGGTAGTGTGGTGGTTACGAATCTAATCGGGCTGCTAATCTCACAGTTAGCAGTTCGAAATTACCAGCTGTTCCACAGGAGAAAGATGAGGCTTTCTGCTCCTGTAAAGATTTATAGCCTCAGAAACCCTGTACTGGGTTGCAATGAGTTGGAACCAATTCTACTGCACATAACAACAACACAGTGCTGAAGAGGCGCCTTGGAATAAGCACTAGGCTGCTGGCCACAAGGTCTAGAAGTTCAAACCCACCAGCCAGCCAATCCACAGGAGAAAGATGAGCCTTCTACAGCCTCAGGTGCTCCATAGTGGATCATCAGGAGTCTGAATCTATTCAAAGGCAGTGGGGGTTGGTTATGGTGCTGAATAAGCTTCAACAGAGCTTCCAGAGAAGACAAACTAAAAAGAATGGCCTGATGATCTACTGAAAATCAACCACTGAACCCTCTGAGTTACCATGGTCTGATTGCCATGAGTGGGAAGCCAACTGGAGAGCAGCCAACAGCAGTGTTTGTCCCTTATGAGGGGGCTTCAAAAAGTTTGTGGGAAACTTCCATTGCTGTTTTATTCCATTTTCCCACAAACATTTTAAAGACTCCTTGTATCATAGGGAAAATAGGGGCTAAAGACAATGGTTAAATATGCCTCAAAACCTTTCGGATTCTTACAGACTGGTTTCTGTGATGTCATTCTTGGCTAAAGCAGCAGAGAAAGTAGGGTTTTCTCTGCCAGCTCCCTGCCAAGGGCCCTTCCATTTTAGAAAAGGTGACACAATCCAAAGATGTCCAGGAGAACCACCATGGAAACCTTCCCACCTGGGCTCACTGTCTTCCTAACTTCCTGCAGAGAGGGATGCGGGGACCACTACACTCTCCAGTCTTGCCTCCATATGAACAAAGCTCTGAATTCCTGAGAAGCTTTCTTTCTGAGCACCCTTGCTTGCACAGTCTGGCTCTGCCCAAATTGGCTGACACATGAGCCAAAGCAGAGACAGCCAAGGAGAAAAATACCCTAGGATCAGTGTCCACTCAATGCCCTTTGAGCTTCAGAAAGAGATGAAAGCCAAGAACGATGGGGTCAGGCTGCCCGGACGGTTCTTTATGTGCTTGACCTCCTAATAAACTTCCCAGATCCAATCCTCTGAGCAGCCAGTGAACGAATGCTGTTTTATGGCTTACATCTGCACCTGGTCGATCAGCAAGTCTCTATGCCACTATTTGAGATTTGAGACTATTTCCTGCAACAGATTTCTGCTTGAGATAAGACTCCCTTCCCAAACCTACAGCCCTGGTTAATATTAAAAACTCTGGGATAAGGCAAGCATCAGAGACAACCACCATAAAAGCCTTACCACAGCTGAACCCTGGCTACTCCCAGGCTTTCCACAGCTCTGATGACGTCTTCCTTTCTTCCCTACAACTCATGGCATGAAATGGGAATTCTTTTTCTCAGCAGAGTAAACCGTAATGGTTATTTGCAATTCCAGAAAGATACTAAGGGGTAGATAGGTCTGTTGAGATGCTACACAGAGTTTTGTAAACCATTTCTGAAGAAACGTAGGAATCACCATCATACTTTGGAAGTGTCCTTCCACATCAGCCATAAGAAGGGTCTGGCCATCCGATTTATACCCACCTGTTTTTCTCTCTTTTCGGCCTCTTCCAGAGATTTTTTTAGGATCTTCACCTCACTGGTTACCACTTCTATCATATTCTTGGCCTTCTCTCTCTGCTCCGCCGCCTCATGCTCTGTGGTGTCCAGTTTGGTCTTGACTGACATCAGTTTCCGCTCGGCTTTCTCCTTCATCTTCTCCAGTTTGTCTCTGGATTGATTTAGGTCTTCAATGGCCTTGTTCTGTTCCAAAGTTTTAATCTGAGAAGTCAAGAAAGTGCTAATGATTTCTCACATATACTTATTTAGGAAAATGACATAAACAAGCCAAAGCAAAGTTAATGGAATCCGCTTAACATTTTTATGAAGAAAGAAAGAAACTCATTCCCCACCATTACAAGACCTTGCTGAGCATCTGGGCCAGACAAACATGTTTTAAGACGGTTATCGTTTATAAACAACATACTGGGATCTCATGATTTGGCAAGTCAGTGAGATGACAGTGTGGATAGAGTGATTCTGAGTTTGGATAATACAGTGGAATCTACTGATACCATACACACACACTCTCATGAACTCCATACATACAAGCAACTTGTACTTCCTTCCTCCGTGATGAAGTCATCCCTGATGCATAAACAGGAAGGAGCCATCATGGACTCAGTTCTGACTCTTGGCAGTCCCGTGAGTGTCATAGTACAGCTGTGTCCCCCAGGGATTTCAATGGTTGATTTTTCAGAAGTAGATCACCAGTAGACACAGACTGCCAACCTTTCTGTTGGCAGGTAAGCATGTTCATGTTTGTACCACCTAAGGCTGTCTGCATAAGTATTGTTGTTATTGTTGTTAAATGCTGTTGAGTCGGTTCCCACTCAGAGCAACTCCAGGGAGCAGCTAGTGGATTTGAACCACCAATGTTATGGTTCAAACCAACCTTGTGGTCCAGTGCATTATCCCACAGCACCATACCAGGGCTCTAGCACAAACACTACGAAGAGCAAAACACCTCCTCACCTATGGTTTCCCCACCTAAACACCCTCAGAAAATCTTCCTCCAACTGTGAGGAAAATCTAGACCAGCAGTGTTTCCTAAGACATGTGGTAACCCTTCACTCCTCCGATGTTTTGCAATGAGTACATAAGGTGGTAGGTGGTAACAGCAGCATTCCTATGCAAGCAACAGGGGAACGGTGCTGGCCTCTCTAGGAAGCCATCCTAGCATGTTAAGTGAAACTATGGAATATCCAGTTGGCACTGTGGGTTAATGAGCTGGACTGCAAACTTGGTTTGAACCTCAAGGTTGGCAGTTCAAACTCACCAGTCACTCCTCAGAAACCCTATATAGGGTTGCCATGTGTCAGAACTGACTCAACAGCACCTAACAACAACAAGGCATATTTTACTTAATAGCTTATTATTTAAGATTATACCAGATCTGTTGCTAAGGGTTTCTGAGAGATAGCTGGTGGGTTTGAATCGCCAATCTTGTGCTTACTAAAAAAAATGCACTGTAGTAGTGCAGTAGGTTAAGCGTTGAGTTACTAACCACAGGTCTTTGGTTCAAACACACCAGCCACTCTGCCGGAGAAAAATGAGGTTGTCTCTTCGTATCCCTAGGGAGCGGTTCTACTCTGTCTTGCGAAAAAGGACTTGTGGCAATTTCACATTATTAGACATAAAATTTTATAACACAACAGCTAAAAATAAATACAGATGAGCTACTATTCCATAGCCACTTGTTGTTTTTAAGTGTTGTTGAGTTGGTTCTGACTCATAGCGACCCTGTCTAGGGTTACTGAGGAACAACTGGTAGGTTTGAACTGCTGACCTTATGGTTTATGGTCCATTGCTGATCCTACAGCACCCCCACCAGGGGTCCAAATCCACTAGGGTGATTATAATCACAGACAAAGAAAACAAGGATGTGGAGAAACAGGAGCCCCCATGCTTGCACATTGCTGGTAGGGATGCAAAATGGTGCAGGCATGGAAAACAGCAGCTGGCCAGTTTCAAAATGTTAAACACAGAGTTACCAGATGACCCAGTAATCCTGCTTCTGAGTGTGAACCCAAGAGAATGGAAATAAATATCCACATAAAATCCCACACACATGTGCACCCATGTCCACAGCAATACTAGTCACAATAGCCAAAAGATGGAAATGACCTCAATGTTCTATCAACAGATGAATGAGTAAACAAAATATGGTCCAGACATATAACGGTATATGACTCATCCACAAGGAACAATGAAGTTCTAAGAAATACTACAACATAGATGAACCTTGTAAACATGCTGAGTGACGTAAATCAATCACAACAGGACAATTACTCATATTGATCTACTTATATGAAATATAAGTCCTGGTGTGATGTGTAGGATAAGTAATGGAATGCTAGCCACAATGCCAGCCGTTCAAACCCACCAGCTGTTCTTAGGAAACCCTATTCTGAGTCTCTGTGAGTCAAAACTGACTTGGCAGCACTTAACAATAACATTATAAATTGTCTAGAATAGGCAAATAGAGAGAGAGACAATTTAATTATTGGCAACCAGAGGTAGGAGAGAAGAGAAAAGGAGGAGTTTATTAATCACAAGGGATTAAGAGTGGTGGCCGAGGAGTGGCAACTCCTCCTTCGGTGACTATCCTATCACAGACACCAAACATTGCCAGATACAGTGCCAAAAGATGAGCCCCTCAGGTTGAAAGGCACTCAAAATATGACTGGGAAAGAGTTGCCTTCTCAAAGTAGAGTTGACCATGAAGACCCAAATGGATAAAGCTTTTGGGGACCGTCATTTGCTGATGGAACACCACTCAGAATGATGACAAACAGCTATAAACATCTATTACTAATTGGAACATGGAATGTACAAAGTAAGAATCTAGGAAAATTAAATGTTTCAAAAATGAAATGGAATGCACAAACATCAATATCCAAGGCACTAGTGAGCTGAAATGGGACTAGTACTGGCCATTTGGAAGCTGATAATCACATGGTTTACTCTGTCAGGAATGACAAATTGAAGAGGAATGGCATCACATTCTTGCCAAAAAGAACATTTCAAGTTCTGTTTTGAAGTATAATGCTGTCTGTGATATGATAATATACATATACCTACAAGAAAGATCAGTTAATTCCACTATTATTCAAATTTAGCACCAATAACTAACACCAGTGATAATGAAATTGAAGAATTCTACCAACTTTTTCAGTCTGAAATTGATCAAACGTGCAATCAAGATGTATTGATAATTACTGGCGATTGGAATGAAAAGGTTGGAAATAAAGAGGAAGGATCAGTAGTTGGAAAACATGGCCTTGGAGATCAAAACAATGTTGCAGATCACATGATACATATATATATATGAGCTCTTCCCTGTATCTGCTTTGCTTGGTATTCTATGGTATTGCTGACAGCGAACTTCACTGCACCTCCACCCTAGCCACCATCAAGCCCGCCCCCTCAAAGACTTTGACTATCTTTTTTTTTTAATGTTTTATTGTGAATTATGTGATCGTTTACATGGGGGAACATTAGTTTTACATTCATCCTATCATATATTGTTTCATTGCCATGGTTACAATCCCATGCATCAACAACCAACCAAAGGGTATACCCTGCAAGCCTGCCTCCCAGTCATCAGCACACAGACCCTCTCCCTCTCTGTGTCTTAAGTCCCCAACAGCTCCATCTCTCCACGTCATCATCTCTGCCTCAATCTCAGGCATCACTGCCTCTCTGGGTAGGGTCCCACTCTTCACTCTTCTCCCTTGATGGTCCCAGGGACCTCCGCTCCTAGGCGTAAAAGTTAATCACTCCCCTCCTTGGTACAAAACATCTACCTTTACATTTCCAACCCTCACAAGCAGTCTTGATAACAATTTTCACTATTGTATCACAAGAGACCCTTCCGCATTAAATTTCATCAGCCCCGCCAAGACAGATTGTATACTACTCAGTGGAGATCCTACCTTCCTCCATGCCCTCTGAATCTAGGTTCCCTTTTGAAAGCTTGTAAGCCAATCACTTCTTGCCTTTGTTGCCCCCCCTCCCCATTTTGGGTAGCCAATGTCCAAGTTGCCCATCCCT